AAAAAATGTAAAAAGAAACAGGTAAATTTAATTTTATTAATATATTTTAACTCAATATAGCAAATATATTATCATTCTAGCATTTTATCGGTAAAAATAATAATGAAGTATTTTATGATTTTTATACTGTCTTCAAAATCTAGTACATACTCAGTACCTACAGGACATCTCAATTTGGGTTCGCCACATTCAGGTGGCCTGTGGCAGCCAAATTGGTCAGCAGGACTCCAGAAGGTGCTGATATGTGCTAAATTTGAAAACTACTATACTGAGTTGGAAAGAAGATATCTCAGGAGAAGAAAAAAAAAGGAGGGGGGGAGGAATTAACTCTTGCTGAAGGCCAGCTAATAAACGCTACACTATATGTTTTCACATTTTTCTTATTTAATGCACATAAACAATCACACAACACAAACACACATGCATCCCTGACAGGTGACAGGGGAGCATTATTATCCTCACTTCACAGACGAGGAAACAAAGACCCAGGAGAAGAAGGAAGGCACACGATCCAACCTAGAACACCTCATAAGACTCCTTTCAGACTCCTGACCTCCAGAACTGGAACGTGATACACGTGTGTTGCTGAAGCAACACTTGTGGGAATTTGTTACAGCAACAACAGAGAACTCATACAACTTCCAACTGCATCATCTCAGACATTTGGTCATTCAACAAATGCTCAATTTATGCCAAATGCTGGGACCTTCTATTAGTGAATGCTGAAGGAGAGAGAGAAGGCTAAACAAATCATTCCCAGGTCCTGAGACAGCTGCTAACACACATGCACGGTACACCAGTCGTGCTGGTCTGCGGGGAAGGAAGGCGTTGTGGAGATGGAGCCGCGTCGACACTTTGACACTGGCGGGACATCTTGAAAGAACAGGAATTGACCTTCGCTTAATGAGGAAAGGAGATTCTAGGTGCAAGGAACAGCATGCATAAAGGCAAGGAGACATAAAAGAGCTCGGCCACAAGTAGAATTAAGTTTGCTGTGTCTACAGATTATCGTTCCTTTGGGAAGTAAGATTAAGAAATGCAACCAGAAAGGTGGGTGAGGCCAGGCTGTGAGGGTTTGCACATGTTGGATACAGTCACGCCTCTGGAATTTCCTCTGGGTGGTGGGTGGGGATATGGTTATGAAATTTTAAAAAGAGGTGGAGGTTAAAAATATAGAAATTGGAAAAGTCACCAGCTAGAGACAGTTCTAGAATCCCTGGGGATAGACAACATTAGGCAGAGAGAGAGTAAAGAAGAAGAGAATGTGGAATGCAATCCTGAGATTGCCAACAGGGAAGCAACAAGCCAATGTGCGAGAGTGGTGGCAGCAAGTCCCAATGTTGCCACTTAGCAGCTGTGTCACTTTGAGCAGGCTGATTAAGCATTCTAGTCCTCCACTTTCTTATCTGTGCAATGGGTATACTAATCATAGTGCCTTCACAAGACAACTCACATCTCTCCCTTCTAGGCAGCCCAATAGCCTCTACCAGCTACAATCATCTGACTGGTCAAATGTTTTCTCTCTCTCTCTCTCTTTTTTCCCCCTTCTCGTTACACTGCATGGCCTGCAAATATTCATTTCCTCGATACCACTACTGAACCACGTATAGGGCCTCCACAGGCTGAGAGCTCGCAATAATGCAGACATTTTATTGAACCTGAAAGCAAGGATTAGGAAGGAAAAATATGTACCCACATGGTCCATCTGGCCTTTGGTTTCTCTAATCCACCATAAGTACGGGCATGTCCCTCCCACTTCAAGGAAATTAGATATTCCAAACACCTACAATAGATGTAAGCCTGGGAAAACTACACTCTCTCACCAAAACTACCATATGCTNTCTCACCAAAACTACCATATGCTTGACAACTGCATGTAAGGTGACTCTGTCTCATCGGCAGATTTCCTCCCAACAGGCTTAGCTCCTGGGCTGAATGGAAATATCAGCCTGAGCACTTCTTGTGGGTTTGTTTGTTTGTTTGTTTTTTTCCCAAATCTCAGACCATTGATCAATTAAACACTTTGGAACTTGAATCTACTGCAAAATGTACAAAGCTTGTGGTTCTGATGCTGGCAAGTTCACTTGCCAATGGGCAATGACTATGATAAATGTCCTGTCAGCACTGCGAGAAAACTGCATTCCTAGGAAACACTTTTCCTGGGATTGAGAGGTTTCCAGAAAAAAGCAATACTAGTAGTTCAGGGTGTTAACCAAACATTCATGGCCTCCCCTCAAAACAGAATTCTGTTTCAGACAGTGCAAATCCATAAACTCGTCTAGCTCACGTTTTATGACATGGGACAGCATGAAAGCGGCCATGATGGTAATTGTCTTACAAGATCTAAATTGAGAACGTAACATATTTTACATTATATGTAACTTTCTAAAGGATGTAAAACCTTTTTTAGATGATTTTATTTATTTATTTGAGAGAGAGAGATAGCAAGAGAGAGAGCATGAACAGTGGGGAGAAGGAGAAGCAGACTCCCCGCTAAGCAGGGAACTCCATGTGGGACTCGATCCCAGGACTCTTGGATCATGATCTGAGCTGAAGGCAGACCCTCAACGGACTGAGCCACCCAGGTGCCTCAGGATGTAAAACTTTAAAAACAACCACTTCACCAGTGGCAACTCTACCATTTCCATGTAAGACTTAGGCACTTTAATAAGCAAATCTGAAGGCAGGATATAAAGCAAATTAAAATTTTTAAATATTTGCTTTATTTATAATTGTCATATTTAACACATCACTAACATAATGAAACCAGGGACCTCACACCAGGCCATAATGCAACAACGACAATAAAATAACTCCCTGGTGAGTGATACCCAAGGAGGGACCTCGTGATCAAAAGGCCTCTGTGCACAGGTGTGCTGGGTAAGGAAGCACAAGGCTGTGTGGCGGCAGCAGAGAAAGCATAGGCAGCTCACAGCCTCGCCCACCTTTACGATACAATAAAGAGCATGGATTTGGCACTCTGCGTGTGACCGTGGCAATCTGGAGTCACTTTAACTGTAATATGATCCTGTAAGACAATTAATTCAGCACGAAGTAGCGACTGGTATTCCGTGGCATACTGGTGGTATATTCCGGTATATTCCGCGGCATACTGGCAGAATCAGAGAGGACCTTGGGGGTCGCTTCTCCAGCCCCCTCCCTCATTTTACAGACTAGAGATGCCAAGAGGGACTCGTCCGACTCCACAGCTGTTTGAGGGGAGATTTAAGACCGTACTTTGAGCCTCCTGCACCGTGGTCCTCCATTAAGCGGGGCCGGAGGCAACAGCCTGGCAGGAGGCCTGCGCACAGCATCCTTCTCTGCTGGGCCGAGCAACAGGTCAGCACCCCGCTGCCAAAGCTAGGGACCCCACCCCTGCCCGCTGCGGTTCAGCTTTGGGCCCAGCGATGCTCTAAAGACCCGAAGGTCCTCCCCAAACCCCCCCTAGCCCAGCAAGCAGAGCACTTCCACCTAGGAATCCCTGGGTATGTTGTAGCGAAGCATCAGCATGAACACCTGAGAAAGGACTAACACCTACCAGTTCAGCAGTGAGTCCACTGTCAGTGCATCTCACCCAGTCTCCACCCACCTCCCGCCCCCAACCGCCTGTACTGAATGAGCCTTCCTTGGTCAAACTGGCCAGCGGCCCCTTCACACCCACAGGTACATGGAATCCATTATTTCACCCAGCTTAGTTTACCTGGGCTCTTGTTTGACAAATGTGGTATGAGCCCATGATTCTCCTACTAATCACAGGCAGAAAGCCATGTCATTCCCTTGAATCTACACATGCTTAAATGTTTGCTTTTCTTCCACCCGATCTAGGTTACACTCAGAGTTAGCACTGTCTTTGCTTCACACAAAGATGATTTCCAGCATGGTGCAGGCAAGGGGCTCTCTCTCGGACTGATATCAAAGAAGATAATGTTCAAAGACTCAGTTCGAGCCCAAGGTATCTGCCAAGGCCTGCCACAGACTAATGTCAAGCAGACCATTTAAAGTGCTGGGGCCCATTTCCTGATTTTCTCAAGTGAGGGCAAGGATCTTGCCCAAGGCCCCAGTCTAAGCAGCTGGTAAGCATTATAAACACTGAGTCATCAATAGAAAAGTAGCATTGGAACACTGCGATGTATTTTACTTGTCACTGTATAGGAGCAGAAGAAGTCATCTATCATACTAAAGCTAAGATTCTTATAAAATTTCACATATGATCAGAAAAAAACCTACACACCCCAAATTATGTCTTTGCTTCATCAGCAGTTAAAGATCACTGGCCTGATTTTGTTCATGCTCATTTTTTCTTTTTTTCCTTCTTTTTTCTCTTGGATATTTAATCTCTTTAGGCCAGTAAAGAATCATCTTTTCATTTGTGGCAGAAAACCAGGCAGAAGACATAAATCTAAAAGATAATGTTATTTCTTAAAATTCAAATTTACTCCAAGGATTAAAAAACACTCACATTTATATCCAAGTTCCTCGAGGATGTAATTTTCATTCTAATCTACATCCCAAAATGTTATTTATTATTAACACCACTGCCTGAGCTTAATAATTACCTGAGTAATTATTTTAATAAAGTGCTTCCAACTGGCATGATACACAATTTGCTTTGTTGAGTTGCTTTTTTTCTCCTTTATCCCAGAAAATGTCATAATAGGTAGTTAATTTCATAATAGTCTCTTGTGTTTAAAATCTGGTTCCTGGAAATGATTCATACAAGTCAACTGTTAGCTTTGCGGTGACATTTTGCAGAAATGTCAGCGATACCTCAGATGCACCTGCTTTGTTTGGCAGTAAAGGTACTTTGCCAGTGTTCACAGTGAATAAGCAGCACTACCAGTTTTTCTAAAATCTGTGTTCAATTGTTCCTCTAACCACCACTGAAATACAAGACAGTGTTTTCCAATGTATATTCACGTTATGGTCCAGAAATTGGGCATATGCACCGACTACGTGAAAATACAATCCTGCGTTCAGTTTTCCAAATATAAGACAACATTTTACCGAGCAAGATGGAGAACAGCTTCCACTATATTCGAGCCATATTTGGCGCTGGTTTCACAGAATAATGCCCCATAGGTCTGTAGAAAAGAAATAAACACAAATAAATGAAGCCTTTACTTAAGGCTCCTGGAATTTTAGCTTTTGAAACCAACAAATAAAATAAACATATTCTCCTGTTGAGTATTCTAACAGCTAAGAATAGGATTCATGGTTTTGATACTTTAAAAATAGTGCATTTGGGTCTAGTTATTCCAGACACAACAGCTCCGAGTCAGGGGACTTTTTATTTTGCCTTAAAAGCAGCACAATACACCATTTCATGTTTTAAGGTTCTTATTCTTCACGGTTCTACCAAACGTTCTCTATCGGATAATCTGAGAGAGGTAAAATGGTAGCTTAAGGTAACCACTCACGAATTAAATGTCCATCAAAAGTATGTCTTCTTTGGGCCCCCAGCTAACTCGCAACCCTTCACACTATCATCTTTGCCTTCAAGATTCAACAACCTCCATGTTGTTAAACCCAATGGATGCTGTCCAGGGCTCTATTATTCTATCTCCCAGCAGTTATGGATATGACCACTGATCATATCACTCTCCTGCTTCACACCTTTCAGTGTTTCCCATTCCTCTTCAAGTAACGCTCAGATGCTTCCCCATGGCTGACAAGGCCTCGCGTCCATGTAGTCCCGGCCCAACTCCTAGCTTTACCTGCCACCCTCCTCCCTCGCTCTCAATGCTCTGGTTACTCTAATCTTCCCTCTGTTTCTCCAATGTTCCAAATTCCCCCTTACCTCACGATCTTTGCACCTGCTGTTCCCATTACCTGGGTTATGCCCATCAACCCCCTTCTCCAGGCTGACTCCTACCTACTTTTCGAATTTTTCCATAATCCTCCCCTGAAATCAAGTTTCAGTGTGTCTAAGCCTGGCATGTCCCTGTCAGGTCTTGCTATTAGGGAACCTCACAGCCCTCTGTGTCTTCTCTGTACTGCACTTGCCACAGTTGTAATTGATGAAGTTATTTTTGTGCATCTTTGCCTGGAGACAATGTCCTTTCAGGAAGGAGAATTGCAGGG